GGTTAATACCCGTGACTGTTTCCATCAGCCTCTCCCAGAGTGAATGTGGGGTGTGAGTTGAAATTCACCCTCACTCCTGAACATCAGAGCTTTTGTAAGTGTGGACCCTAGAACACCACCCGTATAGAGTCAGCTGACTCGATTCCCCTGCTCCCGTCACCAGCAACCGGAGGTGGGACGCACTGTAAATGCCCCTTGCCAAACTCTGTCCAGCACAGAATTCTTTGGGAAGTGCTGACTTAGTCAAACCCCCTCCGTGGACGAATGAGCCAGGGGACATGGGCCAGGTGACGCATGGCTCTTGGGGCAGAATCCACAGTTCTCCTGAGGGATGCTTGACTGCCCACCCAGCCTCCTTGTTTCTGGAACGTTCCAGGTGACTTCCATCTCACTGCTGTCCTTCTAACCACCACCCTAATCCTTGATTCATGGTGCCACCCCGCTTCTTCTGTCACAGACGTTCCTGGTCCGCCGGGAGAGCAGCTTGAAGCACCTGGTCCTCTGTGTCCACTTCCCTTCCCTGAAGGAGAGCTTGTCCGAGGTGCTCGAATACACCATCAAAGAAGAAAAATCGAGTAAGTAATCATCTTTCCGTTCTGGCCTCGGACCACACAGCAGCAGCAGCAGATGCCACACCCCCTAACCACAGACGCTCACACATCGGGCCGGAGGGGTTTAAAATTAGAAGAAGGGGAAAAGCTTTCAGTGCACTGAAGCTGTTTGGCCAAACTCATTTTAAACTCAGTGTATCACACAGAGTCACTGTGAGTTTCCGCTCGCCCATGTCACTGCTCGTTGGCTTTGCTTTCTCATGGCTGTTGTGACATGTCCTCCTGTTAGCTCAGCCTAGTGACAGGGAAGAAAAGGGGAGGGAAGGTCTGGGCCCCTGGATCCTAACGACAACTTAGCACACACTCAACCATGATCTTGGACAAGTCACGTAACCTCTCTGAGCCTTTTTTTGTCATCTGTCAAATGGACATAGTAGTCACTTTCTGCCTGTATCGCAGAGCCTTTGCGAGGGTCACATGGGCAGGCACTTTGAAAGACAGAACTCCTGTGCGTACAGGGCTCATGAGCAGGGTCACACCTCACGGGGGAAATGTTTTGGGGCCCCCAGTCAAGAGTGAGTTTGTACTGATACACAATGAAAGATTTGGGCTTCCCCCGCCTCTCATGGGCCATGCCAGGTATTAAGATCCAAAGAGCCTGTTCGAAGAATCTGAAGAATAGTCCAACTACCAGCTCAGGTCCCCTTATAAATTGATCCAGGGCATGTGAGAAGCTTTTTACGCTTGGTTAGCCACACAGTGATAACAGTTAAAGAAGATAAAATATTTATTAAGTATTATGTATTATAAGTATGTAATATAAGTATATTTATATAATTGCACATTACATGCTTATATAATTTATACTTACACAATTAAACGTTACATAAATATTTTTTAAATATTTGTTAAGTATTTTGGAGTGCTTGTTTCTTAAGAAACCCTTGTGCCTGACACTGGAAAAAAAGATGCAAACGTGAATAAGACAAAGTCTGGCCTCAAGGGCCTCCCAGTCTAATTGGAGGGTGGGGGACCTGGTGGGTGTGAGAAACACAGACATCAACACTTGCTATGCAGTGTGACAGGTGTGACTACAAAGGGATGCTGGGCCCAGGGGCACAGAGGATGCAGGTGTCGCCTGAACTCAGAGTCTGGAGGCTTTGCTAGAAATTAATGATGATGACTTATTCAAGGGTCTTAGGGCTTTCAAACCGCAAACACAACTAGGCAACACCCAGAGCGTTCTGACAGAGAAAGAAAAACTAAGAGTTCTTATAAATAAATAAATAAAAAAAAAAGCACATTCTTGAGAATGATCAGTCCCTGCATTCTGAGCCTTAGGATTGGTCTGGGACAGTTATTAGTCAGATGTCTGGCAGTCAGGGTACTGGATGTCAGGTGGTCTGGAAAATGGGTGCCAGGAAGCCTGATCACGTCCTATGGTCAGGAGAATGGATGTCAGGTGGTCTGGAGACATGAGTCCTTCAGGGGGTAATCAGGGTTATCTGGAGGTCCGATGTATGTACAGATGTATATCCAGGCATTGATGCAGGACTGGAAAGTTCAGACGTTGAGATTCCCAGGCTCGTTAGAACAAGAATGGAATCGCTTCCTCATGCCTCAGCCTACTTGGTTTTAGTAATTTAACAGATTGACTCTAGTGACTGGATTTTATTTCTTCATTTTATTCCTCATAGTCTGTTGTGGGAAGGATTCCAGGAGGGTGTTAAAGAGGAGGAAACACAGGCAGGGTCCCGAAGGATGAGAGTATTGGTTCAATTAAAAGCTGATTTTCTAGCTCAAGAGGTGGAGGAGAAAGTGAAAGCAGAGGTAGGTAGGTTCCTGCTCTTGCTGCCAGGGAGCCTTTCTGTAGAGACCCGAACTCAGGAAGAATGGATAAAACATAATTCACTCATTTGTGTATTTAACAGATAGTTATTAAGTGTCTATTCTGTGTCAGGTGCTGTTCTACCGCTGGGGACACAGCAGGGAACGAAACACAGTCCCTGACTCTCAGAGCTTACATTCATGTGAACAGAAGAGGCAGTAAACAAATAAACAATGTAGCGTGCCTGTCAGAGGGAGAGTCAGGCTATGGAGAACATGGAAACAGGAAGATTAGCCAGCTGCTGCAATAACCACAAAAAGCCTGCTGGCTTAAACCCAGAAGAGACTAGTTTCCCGCTCATGTGCAAGATCCCTGGTCAGTGGGGAAGGCTCATTCAGGCACCCTGGGCTGATGGAGGCTCTGCCACCTGCAGCTCGCAGCTTCCAGTGGCCGATTATTGACTTCCACACCAACAGGCTAGAAGGGGAAAGAACATGGAGGAAACTTGTGGGTGGGTCTTACCAAGGCCTGCAAGTGGGTGTGTCACAAGTGGGTGCTTATATTCCATTGGCTAATACTCAGTCCTATGACCACGCCCCACTGCAATGGAGACTGGGAAACATGGTCCAGGCATGTGTCCAGGCAGATGCAGAGGGCATGGATTTTGGTAAACTGCTGGGAGTCTGTAAGGGGATAGAGTGTGGGGGAGTGTTCATTTACATAGCGAACCTTAATAACCCTGTCCTGCAGCACCCAGCAGGGAAGAAAGTGAAAAGAGTGCTATAGTTTTGCCAGACCAAATATTTAACACCCTCCACTGACTGGAGAAGAGGTGAATTGTCTGGGGCTCCTACTGCTTTCCAGGAGCCTGGACCCTTTCTCAGACATTCTCAGCAGGTGCCTCTAGAGCCGGAAAAAAACCCTGAGTGCACTCTTGGGGCCCTGGGAGAGAGACCACCATCAGCCTATTTGATTGTGGACGTATGTAGTCCTGTCTCTTATTGAGAGTAACCAAGCTTCAGGAACTTGCCTGCCCAGACACAAGTGACCTACAACCCTTAGAAACCCAAGAGCCAACTGTGCTGTTAAATTTGAACACCAACATCAGAAAAATAGCTGACGGGGGGGGAGTAGTGACGTGCTGAGCACCTCACATGTCCGCCCGTGCTCTGGAAGCACAAGGAGGGAGTGTTGTTCAGAGCAAGCTGATCAGGAAGGATTCTTAGAGGAAAAGAGAATCAGGCTGGACCAGCAGAGCATCTGGAAGTTCTGCTTTTCCCCTTCACCCCTGTGCTCCGTTCCCACCTCCCCACCTCAGCCTCCAGGAGAACCACTTCTAGGCCTTTCCAACCCAGTTATACCCCCAGCTTCCCGGCCTTGTGGAACTGGGTCAGAAAGCACGCACCAAGCCTACCCGACGGAACCAGGACGCTGTGTCTGGTTACATGTCTCACTTCCGATTAGGAGCCCAAAGGACACACCAGGGCACTTGGGGGTGGAGGCAGCTTCCTTCCCCTGCTTGTGTCTTTCTCCCAGAACCATGTAATAGAATCTCATTTTCCATTTTAAACTTTTAAAAATACAGTGCTCAGCTTTGCTGGAAAAAAAGAAAAACATCAAAACCCAAACCCGAAATCCTTCATGTAATATAACGCTTCTTATCACAACTCGTGTCCATTCCCTGTAACGACACGGATGCCATCTATAAGTTTGTAGGCATTTTATTTTCCTCTATTATATTACCCCACTGCTCGCCAGACCTGAGGTCTGCCCCCGGGGCGAACCCAGACAATACCAAGAAAGCAGCAGGTGAAGTGGTTCTTTGCCACATTGATTTGCTGCACCTGCCTTTTTGCTCTGTCTTCCAGTTTGGTTCCTTCCTCCTTAGCGTAGTAATGGAGGACAGACTATAGAAGCCACACAGCCTATGCTGGAACCCCAGTGCTGCGTTTTCCTACCCGTGTGACCTTGAGCACCAGGCCCCTATACCATGGGGATGATAATGGTGCCTCCCTCATAGGCTGCTGGAAGGAGTTAGTGTGTCTAAAGTGCTTAGGACAGGGAGCACCTCTTTACTTGCTAGTTGGGCTGCTGCCTGATTCATGAATTGCTCAAAAAAGCCAATTAGATATTTAAATTTTAAGAAATAATAATAAAATGCTTAGGACAATACCCACAGCACAATAGAATATTAGAATAGTGTTTGTTTATTTGTTGTTGTTATTAATCCTCCTGCAAAATGAAGCCAAAAGGAGGAGTGGAATAAGCCTACACACACTTGGTTCCAAGGCTCTGGGTAAATCCCAGCCGAGCACACGGGGGCCTGCCTTGTAGTCCTTCATGGGAAGAGGGAGCCACCAACCTCCTGAGTCTTCCTGTGGCTGTGGTGGCTGCAGCGGGGGGCAGCCTGAGGAGGAAGTGGGCAAGGGAAAGGCCCAGGGCCTGGAACTGGGCCTTTGGTTGGGGTTCCCTATACAGAGCTGAGGCCAAGGAAGGAGACAAGGGGATACCCCAAAACCGGGCAGCCAGCCTCCCTGTGGCCCCGCTGTGTTTGCATTCAATGAGAAAGACTCACCTGGACCACCTCTATGCATCTGTGCGCTTGGGTTGTTCTCTGCTTCCTCGTTCAGAGTTTCTTTGCAAAACCCTGAACCAGTCAGCTCAGGCTAGTTATGCTGCAACAACAAACAACCCTAAACTACAGTGGCTTGCACACGGAGTACGTATGCACGAAAAGCATTGTGCATAAAGTAACGTGAGAGTATTTTTCACTCATGTTACATGTCAGCTGAGGCCCTTTATGAAAACATCTTCCCTCTGCAATCCGGGCTGAAAGAGCAACACCTATCGGGGAGGGAAGGAGAGACGTAGCAGAATCCCATGATGGCTCACAAAGGGTTTACGCAGAGGTGGCAGGTGTCATATCCTTTCATGTCTCATTGGCCAAAACGGGTCAGATGGCCAGGCAGACACCAGTAGGATGGGCAGTATTACCCTCCTGCCAGCGTATAACCAGCAGGGAGAAGTGGCAACTATTTTCAACAAGTATTGCCATCTGCCGTATCCTCAGTCCTCCGTGCTGCACTAAGGTGATAAGAAGGCTTTGCAGTGTCTGGGTCACCACTTCGCCTCTTCAGGGACCCTCAGAGGCCAGGCATGTGGGAGCGGGTAGAGGGGCAGAGAACCAGCAGAAGAG